TTAATTAATTCTACTTTAAAATAGTAATTACCATATAACTTACTTATATATATATATATATATATATATGATAGTTATTGGGCTCTTTTGCTTCCTTGTAAGGTGCATTTGTTAAAGCAATGAATAGTTTTTTAAAAAGTACTCACTTAATTGACGAACCTATATAATTTTTGAAACAGCCTTTGGTGGTAATATTGCATTCATTTTTTGCGTAAAATGTTTTGTCTCTAAAAGTGAAACGTGATCATGTTCAATTTTTGAAGTACAAAACATTGAAATTTGTACTTCGATTATTATACCCTTAGAGAGGAAGCATTTTATTAAAAAATATATGTAATATTCCCACTAAAAAATTATGTCAATGATTTTATATATATACATACTTTTGTTTTCTAATAAAGGTGTACATGGATGATTTACCATAATATTTGGTCATAATACATAATTTATGAATAGTTGCAATGCATATACATACTAGCTAGGCTTAATAGTTACCATTATTTCTTTGAATGTAGTGATACTTAAAAGACACTCCACACTATGCTTGAAATCAGCAAAAAAACTAACAAAAACGTTTCATTACAAAACTGAAGTTTGCCAAATTTTAGAATATTTTTAATCTATTTATTTATTTTTCACAATCTAATTGTAACATAAACAATTCTAATTAGATTATGAGTTTAAAATATTTATACAAAAACAGAAATGCTATTTAAAATGTTACGATCGTAACCCAAAATTGTAGTTACTCATACTTGTAGCTTTATGAGAAACACAACTTTAAAATACTCATAAAAATGCATTTATCTGATATAATTAGTCAATTGTCTATCTTTATAGCACTTCTGTCTTCAACAAGAGTTGATGTTGAAATCCTTCTTTGTTCCTAACTCAAAACAATATTATCTTATGTTTATTACTTTCTAGAAAAACAATCTGCTCAAATCCACTACGAGTTGTATACAGAAAGACATAAAAAATCAATCACTGTTAATAAAAAAAAAATCAAATCTACAGAAAGACTCTGAAAATGATGACTACTAGTGCTTAGATATGATTTGTAAATTAAGAGTCATAAATAAGAACACTAAAAATATCGAACTTAATATGACCACATTCAATATATTGCTGATTATCAAGACGAGACTGATGTATTATTGTCATTACCAAAAACATTACACAAATGTCCAGCATAACAGTCCAATTTGTAGGACTAAACTTTAGGGATGAACACACAACTTACATCAAAATAAAGTCACTGCAATAAATAATATCTCCTGCTCACTTCTAGTAATTGTTGTAAACACAGTTTTTTTCTGAATTGGATTACTGTGTAGAACTGAAAGTAATTATAACAGATAATTACAAATAACTTCCATGCATTAAATATATTCTAGTAACAGTTCAATTAAATGAATCAAATATTATGAAAGTACACTGTAAAAACAAAATATATATGAATATAAATAAAATAACAATCAATTTCTTAGGACTAAGTGCTGCTTGAAGTATGGGCTCAAGAAAATTTTTATAAAAGAAAAAAGCGCAATTAAATTATAATTTTCATTTCATTGTGAACCCATGTATATAATACTATAGATATTATGAAAAACTTAATACAGTATTTAACCTAGCTCTGCACACCCATCAGCCAACTAAGTGGTAACAAACAATTGATTTAAACAGTTACTCAATTACAACGAAAAGAAATTGCGTGAAAAAATGCACTGGTAAAAAAAAAACAATTTTTTGGTGAGAAAAAACAATGCCACCCTGACAATTACCATCAGTCAAAAAATTATAATTGTGTCTTTGTGATGTGTATCATTGTAGTACTGCTAAACACACCAATGGAAAGTTACTGCAAGAGAAAAAAAAAATCTAGCAAACACTGTAACTATTTGGCTTCTTTTTTTCTGGATACTAATTTGCTACCTGGAATATATCAGATACCAAGTCAAGTAACTGGCAAGGAATTGGAATGACGATGTTGATATGCAAGTTCATCTGGTCCCCCAGTCTCCTCATCTGATAAAAGAATTTCTGCTTCAGAGTTACTGTGATTATCCATTGGTTGGTACTGCACTCGTAACTTTGTGACTGTGCCATCATCTTCCTTCCAGCGGCCATGTTTGTGCATCAAGAAATTGTCAGTCACCCAAAACATGATGACCTACAGTACATATAAACAGAAATAAAAATATAAAGATTTCTTTATTAATCTTTTTAAAATCATAGTCTATACTTCATTTTTATTGCAAAAATTAAATGAAAACTCTAGTATAAAAAAGAAATGGTGTGGAAAATTTCAATATCCACACAAACACACACACAATAAAAACATGTTTTTGCATTGTATTCTATATATTTTAAATATTATAAGGACAAAATATTGAAGCTGAAAGATGTTTTTTCCTTACTTTATAGAATTTAATACATATAACCATGCATTTAACCTTGCATATTGGAAGTTTGCTGTCATGTTGTCAAAAACCAATGGAACAAATCAACTTAAGGAAGGATCTCTTGGAACTGAGATATGCAAGGGAGGGTATATCAGTTTGCATATCCTTAACTCATTGGTTACGGCTGCTCTAAACGTGTATGGAATTTTTCCAGGCCACATATGGCACACTCACATTCACCTGCCGGAGGCAGACCATACCCTATACACCAAATCGGTAGTCAATGGGTTACATAACATCTAAAAGCCTTTTTTAAAACCATTTTTATAAGAAAAATAAATTACTGAACAATACTACACATGCTAGAGAATGATTATGAATAATAAGTGTAAAAATGCCATCAAAATTGCTCTAGCTAATGTCACGTCTTTTTTATATCAATAAGTAAAAAGTATTTTCTGAGACTAAAATACTACACTTCATACAGTTTATTATGGTTGTGACAATAGTCAATTTTTTGAAATTATTTCTTACAAATATCTAAGTAAATATAGCATTATTTAGATTTTATGTCTTAAGATTCATCAATGTACTCAATTCAATTCTAGTCACATCTGATCACAATACTTGTTTCAATACTATTAGTGACACATATGACGCTTAAATTTAACCAAGTTTCTAAATCTTATAGATTTTTATAGCATGGATCAGTCCCAATTTCAAACTAATTGGTTAAATAATATAAAGTATAGTGACTAATACCAACTATACAAGCAGAGAATAAATCAGATTATATTTAAATGTAGTTTTAGTTATTGTTTTTTAAACTAGGTTTGTTTATACCTTTTCTTAAATACTGAAATTAGTTTTTTAAGATACATATGTATCTAGATGTTCTACTGAAACTTTAGCAACAGATTCGAAGGAAGTGATAACCTGGAAACAAATGATTAACGAATCAGTCACATTAATTATTTACATATACCTTCCCACAAACATAATACACAAATCTGAAGTAACTATGTTGTCTGAATTACTCCTCCAAATATTTATTTATCATGTTACAATAGCTGTCAGTGTCTGACACTTCAGGTAATGTTCTCATGTATTTGAAGATTAATGGAGATTGCAACTAGTACAGTCACGGAGCATCAGTTATCATGTGTACTTACATTAATGATAAATGGTATTATCAACACTACTATGGCCACTTCTACCTTAGCATTTGTTATTGGAGACATAATGAATGCCCTAACCTGTAAGATAAAATGTAATAACACAGTTAATATGAATATGATAATTTAACATTAATAAAACATAAACAGTAAAACTTTGATATGTAAATAAGCATTATATTATTTGAGCATATGCTCTTCTATTCTCATTACAGCTGGGCAACAAACTTCCATTAACCAATATAATTGATTATCTTTTATCATTGACAATACAACTATTGTCAGATAAAATAACTGATTAATTGAAATTACAAAAGAAATTGATTAATATCATGAAAATAATCAACTAATCGAAATCAGTCTTGCTAATAATTAATGTTTTCAAGTATTCCAACTATCCAAGTCTCATGTAAGAATAATTGATTAATGAGCTCAACAACTGGTCGATTAGCTAATTCCATTAATTGTGAAGCTCTAATTCTCCTCAAAAACATATGTTTTCACACAACATATTTTACTCTCACCTCATATAAATAAATAAATTGAAGAAAAATGAGATATACATATTATGAGAACCAATAATCATAACCATGTTTCATGTAACTTATGTCCATTAGTTAACTATGACTGCCAGAAACATAACCACGTTTCTAACAACATTCAAAGTAATACATATAATACAGACAGAATCAATTTGATTTCCATATTAGGTCAATTATTTAAGTTTTATAGAAGTTCCAAAAGTTTTGCAATTTTTTAGGGTTTTAGTAATTCTTTTGTGTTTGGTAGAATTTGTGGTTTACTGGACAGAGCATTTAGTATTTTTAAAATGACTAGTAAACAATGCCAATAAAAATTATAAATGCAAAAAAAAAAATTTCATCACAAGGATTTTTTTGAATACAGAGATGAAGTCTTAATATACATTGCTGAAGAAAAAAGTCTAGTGCAAAAAAAAAAAAAAGGAAACTTATACAACATTTGTCACAGTACTGGCCGATCTGTTTTAAACAAGTGCACAACGTAAAACACTAGATTTTAATATTAAACTTATTTCCTTACACTTTTCCAGAACCTCAGCTGAATCAGTAATGTGATTAACAGTTTTTCCACAACAACAATTACAACATATAAACCACATTGAGCCAACCAAGCATTTATTTTTGGAGGATAACCTGGAAAAGAAATAAGTGTTTAGATGTAAACAAATAAACATTTACTTGTACACTTACTAATATGAATATTGTAATTATTTAATCTACCATGCATATTATTTATGGATTAGCTTTTGGAAATGATTGTTTATGATTAAACCTACATCAATAAAATGAACACCCCTATAAAAACAAAACAAAAATGGCATATTAAAGTGACCAAATAAAAAACTAACATAGAATGATACTTTTACTGGTATTTAAATCTATTCCTGCCATCTCTTCTTTCAAGTAAAGAAATACCTTTTCTCCACCTTAGAGTGTAACAACAACAATAAAAAAAATTTATTGCAATGTAAGTGTTAAGATCAGTTAAACCAACCAAAGGCTAGTAAAACTCATTAATATTTGCACAACTGATTATTGAACTTACATTTAAGTACAATGCTAATAAGTACACTCCCACATTAATTTATAAGTAAAATCAGATAATAAAAATGTAGCAAGTAGAATATGTTGGAAGAAAATAAGTTTATTCTAACAGTTTTGAAAGCTTACATAGAGAATAAATTGGGTCTACATATGATTAATATTAAAACTATGTTTAAATTAACCCTATCTGCCCAGGCATCATTTACTGCACATGTCACGAGGTTTTAGTGGCTTACATTCAAAAGTTTATTAAACTATTTTTGTTTATATTATACCAATTACTATAGCATAAAATCATAGCTAATAATCCATATTTTAACAGTATATAAGTACTTAATTTTATAAGGCAATATTTAAAAAAATCCAGAATTTCCCCTAGTATGAGAAAGATGACAAATTTTTAATCTTAGCATGAAAATCACTTTGCACATGGACTATTCAAAACAAATACTCGATATATTCCTGGCCCAATCTTTTATTAGTTTATTGAAAATACTTCACTAAAAATATGGTTTTTGTATGTGAAAAACTTGTATTGTTTACTGAATGACTGCCAAATTACGTGAAGATATACACACTATATTAAAAGTTAGTAGTATCAAATCTATAAAGAATTTGAACAAGTACAAAGAGGTCATGGGGTTGGTCAAATTGACCGAGCCCACATTGAGAGTTAATACTGATTGTAAAGTTAACATAACAAGTCCATTTGTAGAGCAGCTTTTCAACTAGTGGGTTTTTCTACACACCAATGTAATGCTGAATAATCTTACCATATTCTCCAAATACAATGTTATTCCACCCTTTCTTTCGAGCAATGTGTTGGGTAAGACGTATTCCAACAAAAATGATGAACAACCCAATGGAAGAATCCAAAAGAAAGCTGACAATGTACCTACCCAAATAAGTGATAGAATGTACAAAAGTTAACATTTTCCTAAACTGAAAATGAATTTACAATCGTACTTACATCTACTTGCACTTATAGTTATTAACTGACCACCAGGGTTTCATCTTTGCACATCTAAGCATCAGAGATGAAAGTGTCCCTTTCCTAAAAATCCTGAAAATAATCGAAGCCAAGTAAGGGGGGGGGGTTCCGGCACCCAAAATCCTGCATTTTGATGCATTTTAGTACTTAAAATTCACTTAAACAAGTTACTCCATTTTTCTTACATCAATGATTACCAAATAAATGT